ACACACACACACACACACACATACACACACACACACACATATATATATATATGTGTGTCTGTGTACCTCCATCTCATGTGTATCACTGTGTTAATAAAAATGGAGAAAAACAAGCATTCACACATTACTGGTAGAGAAGTAATTACAATATAAAGTGGGTTTTCGTGCCACGGTTCTGTAGGTGGTTTCCTGGGTCACAGGAACTTAACTGTCTACAGAGAGGACATCTATGACCTGAGCTATGCGAAACTCCAACATCTGTAAACTGAAAGGGGAGCAACAGCAACCACAGGGGCTAGGAAGAACTAGTCAGAGAAGAGAAGACAACTAGTAGAGTGTAGAGTCCAAAACAGAGTGGCTTCTTGAAACATTAAAGAACAGAATTCTAACTGTAGCTATGGCAAAGCAGCTGGTATCACACAAATCTCTCAATGAAGATAACTATGAGAACTGGAGAAAATTAAGAAAACAGTTCTTCTTAAGCATTGAGAACTGACCTATGTAGGCAGGCTTGAGGGCCCATGGGCTAAGAAAATTAAATCTTTTCAGGTGGAAGATAAAATCACCTCAAGCCTCTAAAGTTTTTCATATATAATGTCTGTCATTCAAAAAAAAATTACCAGGTGTGCCAGAACATAAAGGACCAAATGGCTAAAAACAAGGCAAAAGGTAAAGAAAAGACAATAGAAATAGTTTGAAAGGTGATCCATTAATAGTTATTAAAACTAACTTTAGAATAACTGTTTTATATATGAGATAATAGATAAAAATGATAAATTTCATCAGAGAACTAGAATCTGTTAAAAAAATAAATAAAAGCTCGGTGAAAATTCTAGAGCTGAAAAACTCAAAAACTGAAATTCAGAATTTAATAAATGATTAGACAGAATAGAAGGTTAGATTGAACAGATTAGACAGAAGAGAGAAAGAGCAAATTGGAAGGAGAAAACATCCACATTGAAGTACAGAAAGAAAAAAGGTAAAAAAAAAAAAAAAAAAAACAACACATAGACAAGAGCATAAGACACATATGGAGCACACTGAAAATGTCTAACATACATGTTAAGTTGGAGTCCCATGAAGAAAGAGGAGAGAATAAAGCAGAAGCTATAAAAGCAGAGATAGTGTGGAGCGGGGTACAGTTTGACAAAACTATTGAAAAACTTCAAGCCACAGATTCAAGAATCTCTTTGGACCCTAATTTGTTTATAGTCTCCTTCAGAATCTTTAATCATCTTAATTCTTGGAGCTTATACACTTCTTTCCTATATCTACTATGCTACTTATGGTGGACTATTTCTTGTATATTTTATAGCATTTTTCCCTATGGAAATCCCATACAATTTGTGTACTTTCTCAGAGGTTCATTTTTCCTCATTGTTGATGCTTTTTTATTTTAAGTTTTTCTTTATAGGAGTTATTTTTATGTGCTGTGGTTTTTGCTTTTGTTGCTGATGATTCCAAGAACATTCACTATTTGGTCATAGTTTCTCACCTTGAGATTCCTTCACTATGCATAGAGTGTAAATTAAAAAGCCTGGTGATGTTACTGTGATTTAGATGTTCATAGGAGCCTCGATTACCACTTACAATCCCCTGTGGGCAGATTAAGGTTTTCTTGTCTCTAATTTACTTATGAGGTGTCCTTTTAAAAATATAAACTTTACCCTGAACCCTGCCTGCCTTGTGACAGCTTGAAGTCCCATTTCTTGTACCCACGCGGGTTTTAACTACCAGCTTCCAATTCTGAGAGACTAACCAGATACCAAACCTTCACAGGCCACAGGACATCAGCTACTGTTGGCAGCTTGAGTTCCCTTTTCCAATCTGGAAAATGAGAATTTTTCTTCTCTTTTCTTCAAGCTCATCTATGTAATTAAAATATTTTAAAAAGATTTTCAAGCATTTCTATTTGCTTGTGCCAGAAGGTAGATCTGCCAATATGAACTTAATCAGCCATGTTGCCAGATGTCCTGTATTTTCAGAGACCCAGGAAGATGAAAGATTTACTGCGTTAGTTAGAAATATAAAAAAGAGTTCTTACAGTAGTACCTCCTATAGAGTAAAATTTATTATATATTTTAGTATTTTCCCCCAAAAGATACAAACTACATAATATACTAACAATGAATAAAAATATTTTTTCAACCCCAATCCCTTTTGATATTTTTTTTATTTTTGAAAAAAAAAATTAATCTTATAGAATAGTGCCATGAGTAACAGAAAGGACTCCTAATTCCATATAGCCTTCACCTAGATTCAACATTTTGCCACATTTTGCTTCTCTCCAATAAATACATAGGTAGGTAGGTAGGCAGGTAGGTAGGCAGGCAGGCAGGTAGGTAGGTAGGTAGGTAGGCAGGCAGGTAGGTACGCAGGTAGGTAGGTAGGTAAGAAGAAAGGAAATGATATGATTTAGACAGAGATAGATTTAGATCCTAAGACTAAGGACATTTTCTTGCATAACCCCAGCATGAAGATAAATTAAATTAAATGATGATGCATTACTATTAGCTAACATACATTTAATATCTAAATGGTGCCAGTTGTACCAATAATGTCCTATAGAGAAATTTTATCCATATCCATGTATTACATTTAGGTATTGTGTCTCTTTAGTCTCCTTAAATCTGAAACACTTCTTCAGTTATGTTTATATTAGATGATTTGGACATTTTTTAAAGAGAATGGGCCAGTCATTATGTGGAATATTCTCTGCTCTGTGTTTGCCTGATGTTTCCTCATAATTAGATTCAGGTGATGCATTCTGAAAAAAATACTACAGTGATGTGTCCTTTCAGTGTGTGATGTAAGGAGACACTTGTCAGTTTGCCCCATTATTAATGATGCTAATTTGATCCCGTTGTTAAGGTTATATTCTCAAGTTTCTCTACTGTAAAGTTACTATCTTTTCTTTTGAAATTAATAAATAATCGATGGAGAACTACTTAGAAAGTATACAAATATCCTATTCCCCATCAAACTTTCACTCAATAGTTATAGCATCCACTGATGATATTTACTTGAATCATGTTTTATTGTGAGGGTTGTAAATTATGATTTTGTAACTTTTTTTTTCTTCTATATTTATTAGTTGACATTTTACTGCCATAACTTTCTCATCTTCCTTAAAAAGTCTTTTTATGAAATTAGTCTCAGTATGGACTCATGGATTCTTATTTAATGAGTTAAAATCCATCACTGCCATTATTCATTTTGGTGCTTACGTTACTCCGTATTGGGCAGTGAGAGTCCCTTCAAGCTGCCTCCAAGCAACTTTTAATATTTAAAAACAATGAGTCATTGCCAACAGTTTCAAAGTGAATACAGGAAGTAGTACTTAGCACATACTTTGAAGCAACTAGAGAGTCCACTATCTAATGAACATTTATGACTCACAAATAGGATCTGTCTTCCTCACTGCACACAGGTAATTCACAGATGAACCTTTTTCTTTCTATTCCCTACTATAATTCTGCTTCTCTTTTGACATCAAAGAGATCTTGACATGATGAGAATAATTAGTCCAAATGGCATCAAGGAATGATACACAGATCGCAGGTAAATACCAGTGACTAAATCAATTGACGGGCCCTCTTGACAAACAAGAAAATAAGAATGATGATTCTGGAAAAGACCAGATTGGAAAATTTTAACAATCTGGAAATCTTCCTTTCCAGAAAAGGAAAACTTATTTTTCTTCATCTTAAAATATTTTACCAGAAAAACACGATGATCTAATTTTAGAATAATATTTTTTTTAGGAAAATAAACTAAAAAATGGTCCAGGACCTGGACACAGCAGCCTCAGCAGAGAGACTTTCAAATTCACTACGCTCACGCTCTTTTACTAATATCAAAACCTCCATCCTCTGACACCATGGTCAGCACCTGTTATGGCTCCATCTGCTCTGACCATGGCAGTGGCCAAGGCTATTGTCAAACTGCCTGCTATAGGACCACCTGCTGCTGCCCCAGCTGCTGTGGTTCCAGCAATTGTGGTTCCAGCTGTTTCCACCCCTGCTGCTATGGCTCCAGCTGCTGCCTCCTCCCCGTCTGCAAGGTCTCCTGCCACACCACTTGCTATCACCCCACCTGTATCATCTCCACCTGCCCCCATCCCATGTGCTGCACCTCTTCTTGCTGCTGAGTCCCCTGCCCTGTGTGAACCATCTCTGTTTACTTCTGTCCTCACAGACATAGACCCTCCTTTTGTGCTGACCATTAGGACAGGCTCATGTTTCTCAAATGAGTTGGGTCTCATGATTTTAATGAGCCCACTGACACTGTGAGCACATGTTGGTCTCAGTCCAAATACTACTCCTTCTGGACCTCTCCCTCTTATCTAAGTGTGAATCTGACTGTAACATGCCAACTATTGTTTTGAGCAACAAATTCTCCCCAGATCCTCTTCCTTAATTTTTGGGTACCAGATCATCAAGTTCAAGACAATGAACTTTGATTTCAGTATTCTTAGATTACACATTTTTATAGTCTCTCCCTAAATTGTCCAAAAAAGATTCTCCTTTCTGGTTCTTATTCTCCAAATGTTCCTATGTTATAACTCTATGCCAAAATAAAGCAGCACTTCCTTGTACAGGAATTCAGTGTAATGGTACTCTCCTTTAAGATTTTCTATGCAGTTTGGACAAACGTTTTTTACCTGCATTTGTAGGACAGACAACATGGCTTTGTCCATTTTAAAGAAGAGGCTGGACCACCTTAGTCACAGCTTAGTTTTCATTGGCAGTTTCTTCAGTCATTAGACAAAATAGACATTCTTAGAAATTCATGGATAAAAATTAGAGAAAAACTTTGGAAAACCTGTTCTGGAAGGCAACTAAGTTACTTAACAGTTCGATCCTTTCAAGACTTGCTTAGAAACTGCATGAGGTGGGACTGGAATAGACTTTACTCTAAGAAAAATCTCCCCCATTCTGATGCAGTACTTTTTAGAATTCTCTATCTAATACTTCGTGGATTACCAGATTTTTCATTCCAGCTCATGAGAACATGAACATCAGCTCCAAGGATTGTTCCTTTGCCCTTTATGGGATTGAGTGTTGGGGGAGTCTTTCTCTGTCCTTGGATAGTTTCTGCACACACGTGCACTGATCAGTATTCAGGTAGAGCTTCTGCAGATCTCTGGGGTTCTCAGTGCAATTCTCTTCTCTCTGGTACTCTGCCCTGTGAGTTCCGGCTGTCTTGGCCTCCTTTGTCCCGGCTCCATCATCTCAAGTCAGGATGGTTACCAAGCTCTACCTGGTTCTTCCTCTCAAAGCTGCACCCTAGAAACTCTCTTCAAGAAATAAACTGAGGCAATCCTAGGGATCACCTCATTTGTGTCTCCTCTCAAGGCACAAATGTTCTCCTCTGCCTGACAGTCTATGTCTAAAACCAGTTTCATTCATTTTCATTCATTCAGGTTTTTGTTTGTTTGTTTGTTTTTAGTTGTTTCAGGCAGGAAGGTAAATCCAGTCTTTGTTATTCCATCTTGGTTGGATGTGTAAGTCCCCCTTTTGTGTTTTCTCACCTTTTCTTTATTCTTTCATTATTTTGAAAATTAATGTAATGTGAACAAATATATTCTCTATATTTGTTTCCGTGGTCTTTTAGACATTGTAAAACACTGCATATTTTTCTCCACCTGCTTTATTATCTCTTAATAACCTATCCTTTTTTTATGACAACTATTTTTTCAAATTAATATAAATGAAAGTTAATTTTAAAAAATAATAGTTCCTGGAGATTACTTCATAGTAGCATACAGAGCTATTCCCTATTCCTTTTCACAGCTGAATGTTATTCCATTATGTGGATGCACTAGAGTTTATTAACCAGTACCTTATTGAAGAATACTCCAATTGCATCTAGTATTTTTTGTTTGTTTTGCTTTTACAAATAGCGCTGCTATAAATAATCTCGTGTAACATTTTTTTCCATATTTTTTGCTTCATAGCTTTTAGATAATTTACAGAATTGGGATAGTTAAGCCAAAGAATCTTCACTAGAAAAGCGTGAGCATGCCTGTTTCTACATAGTCTCACTATCAAAGAATGTTGTCAAATTTTGAATTGTTGACAACCTTACAGGTGAGAAGTGCTGTCTCACATAATTTCATTTCTACTCTTATGTATAAGATTGTGAACCTTTATATGGTGAGGAAAGATTTGCATTTTATTTTTCCATCAGAGTTTTGGCCTTTTTTCTAATCTAATTTTTAAAATGCTTTATATATTAAGGACATTAGCCCTTTTTCTTTGGTATAAATTGCAAATTGTTTTTCTTTTTTTATCTAGCCATTTGTCTTTTTACTTTATGTTGAGTTTTTTTTTATGTATTTCTTTTATTATAAGTGATTGTCTTTTCACAAATTGTGTTGCAATTGAAAAAATATTAAATTATGAGTCCTCTTTAATGATAGGATCTCCTATACCTCTACTGCCTATTTTGACTCTCTTTGAAATGTCTATTGTATCAATATTTTGGTTACCACATTCATTGTCACCAAACGAGACAGTATTCATCTCTCACCCTAGATTCAACCACACCTAAATTTTCTTCCCTCTTCCTGTCACTCCATCCACCTCAAGACAAATAATATTACAAGATCCAGATATTTATTCACATCTTTCTCCCAACTTTGTGATGATGTGATATTCACTCTCTTTGTATACATTCAAAAATATACTTAAATTCTCCTCATTCAATCAGTGGACTATTATTTTTCTCGACTCTCCTACACATATCACCTAGACAAGGCATTTGTTCCACCTAAAGCCAAAATATACCTCTATTCAATCTTGCCCCTATTGGGGAATGCTCTTTCTTCTCTTCTCCATCCATGTTGATTACCTATAGTATGTTAAAGTGTGAGTAAATGCTGCATGTTTTCAATAAATCCCACGTTTGCTCAACTAACATTAATTCAGGGCAATTGCTAGGCACCATATTTATAATACAAATAAGACAGCCTCTGACCTCATGGGGTATATAGAAGAATTGGAAAAATAGAGATATAAACCAATTATAATAAACTGTGATATCCTAAGTCACAGGTATATCTTGGAGCAAAAAGGAGGTAAGGATTCATTTTGAATGTGGTAGACATCAAAACATATATTAGCTAGAGATGAGTTGGTATCTGGGCTGGACTTTAAGGATGCGCAAGAGTATGCCAAGTTGACAAGGGAGAAAGCATATTTACATAAATGAAACAGCATGAGAAATGACATGGGATTATTATTCTTCATACATCCTAGGATAGGAGAGAACCACCTTCCCTACTGACTGTGTGACTTCAAACTCTCAACTTCAATTACCTCATGTCTAAGAAATAAGGAAAATTGTTTTTACCTCAGAATCCTTGTGCATTGTAAACAACATAACAATTACAGAAGACTCAAAAAATTCCTGACACATAATAGGCACTTAAAAATAGTAACTATTAGTATTACATCATATTTTATAAGAAGTATGTGGATTTAAATACATAATTGTTATTTTGTTTACTAATCTTAATAGTTGCCTATGTATGGGTCTTGCAGGTCTTACTTAAGTAAGTGCCTGTGGGACAGAGATGAATGTTTAACCCTTATATTTCAAACATAACTTGAGAGACAATAGCTCAGAATATAAAAAAATATATTTCAACATCACTTCAATTATACATATTCCATTGGGTATGCTGACCTACCAAAATAAGATAAAAATACTCCTTTATAATATCCTATCTCTGAAGATCATGTCAATAATAATTTAATAATTTTAAAAGGGACCCATCAAGCCAATCAATGTGTTTTTGCTACTTAAAAGTAGTGAATCATTGCATTATAACTATTTCAAGTTAGATGTTCAATAAGAAAAACACAGATAGGAACTTCCTTAGGATCCTCATTGACAATCCAGGAAATCCAAAGGGATCACAGTGCTCCTTGCTGCACATGAGGCTCTAAGCACCGCCCGCATCGCCCCCTCCCCCCTCCACTCCGCCTTCTGAGATGGGTCTTTCATCCTATTTTACTACCAGCATTTGCTATGACTTGTTCTTTTCTTAGCACTTTATTTTATTTTAGTTTTAGTTCTAAATATATAGTACATTGGTTAGACATGTATATTATAGTTTATGAACCGATCTCCTTTATTACTCTATCTTCCCTCTGGCTCTACACATAACCATTACGTCACTGCTGACTGCATTTCCTATGCCATGCTCCCCATCCCCGTGACCATCTATCAACTACTAATTTGTACTTTTTTGACCCTTTACCCCTTTCTCCCAGCCCCAAACCCCCTCCCCTCTGGTGGTCACCAGATTGTTCCCTATATTTGTGAGGCTGTTTTTAATTAGTTTGTTCTTTTCGTTCCTTAGATTCTGCATATAAGTGAAATCATATGGTATTTATCTTTCTCTATCTGACTTACTTTGCTCAGCATAATATATGACTTGTTCTTGACCTCTTTGACAACAGAGGAGATTTAGTCATCATAAAATCCATTCTCAACATATTATCCTAGAGTCAAATATATAAATGGAAAATCAACACTTGTGAAATCCAATGAAACAATGTCATATAATGTGTCTACCTGAAAAGACACATCTGACAAAGGGAGAAATATGGGAGTTGATACACTTAGCTTTAACCAAACCGAATAGCTCATAATTCAACAGGAAAAGGAAGTGGTGCCTTTCCTATAAATAGAAATATTTACCAGATAAACGCAATTATCCTATTTACTAAAACTAACTGCTTTTCAATTAGGATAAACAACAGGAAGAGTCCTGTATCCCTGGTCACAGTACCCCTCAGCAGGGTATAAAAGCAACAGAGGGCAAGGACAGATCATACTCGAGAACCTCACTCTTCTGAAAACTCACCTAGAACCTCCACCCTCTGACACCATGGTCAACTCATGTTGTGGCTCCGTCTGCTCTGACCAGGGCTGTGGCCAAGGCTGCTGCCAGGAGACCTGCTGCCGCCCCAGCTGCTGCCAGACCACCTGCTGCAGGACCACCTGCTGCCGCCCTAGCTGCTGTGTGTCCAGCTGCTGCCGCCCCAGCTGCTGTGGTTCCAGCTGCTGCCGCCCTAGCTGCTGCATCTCCAGCTGCTGCCGCCCCAGCTGCTGCTGTAGGCCCAGCTGCTGCATCTCTAGCTGCTGCCGCCCCTCCTGCTGTGGTTCCAGCTGCTGTGGCTCCAGCTGCTGCCGCCCCTGCTGCTGCCCCTCCTGCTGCCTCCGCCCAGTCTGTGGCCGGGTCTGCTGCCAGAGCACTTGCTATCGCCCCACCTGTGTCATCTCCACCTGCCCCCAAAGACAAATACCATATGATTTCACTTTCATGTAGAATCTAAAAAACAAAATAAACAAACAAAACAGAATCTAAAAAACAAAATAAACAAACAAAACGAACAAAACAGAAACTCAGGGGGATGGGTGAAAAAAGGAAAGGAATTAAGATATACTAATTGCCAGATATAAAAACAGTCACAGGGATGTAAAGTACAACATAGGGACTATAGTTCATAATATTGTAATAACTATATATGGTGTCAGATGGGTATTAGACTTATCAGGGTGATCATTATATAAGTTATAGAAATGTCTAATCGCTATGTTGTACATCCGCAACTAATATATATTGATTGTAATTGAAAAAATTTTTAAATAATTTGTTATTCTTTTAATTGTTGCCAAACTCTGTTTCTTATGCATGTCTTATTCAAGTACCTACAGGAAAGAGGGATTATCTGTTATGCTCCATGTACCCAACAGACTGTCTTGGATGCATGTTGTGTGTGTTACACACTGTTGAGTCAGCTCCAACTGCTGGTGACCCTGGGAATGAGTGATATCCACACTGTCCTGTCCTAACAGCCCCGCTCAGCTTCTGCAGACTCACACCTGTGGCTTCCTTTATGAAGTCAATTCATCTTCTATTTAATTTTCTTCTTTTCCTGCTGCCTTCTATATTTCTCAGCACTATTGTCTTTTCCGAAGAACCCTCCTTCTCATGATGTGCCCAAGGTTGGATAGCTTCAGTTTTGTCATGGATACATGCTATCGAAGGCCTAATCATTTTAAATATTGTTTATGCATAACAAATGCTTCTGTAATAAAATATTCATTTGGCAAGGTTAACAATCAAAAGATAAATCAAAATTTCCCACTCTTAATGCCTATCCCAGAAGACATACAGCAAAAGTGTGTTTTCACTATTTAAAAGTAGTGAAAACTAAGTACCTCAGCTTGAGACAGTGAAATACAATCCAACGCAGAGTCTGAAACTTCCTTGGGAGTCCAACTATCTCCCTAATCATTCAAGATGCCCCACACAGGGTCAGTCATCCTCATTATAGATGGGACACCCTCCTTCCCAATAGGTCATACTTCACCTGACCAGCACATGTTCCCTTCATCTTTGGCAACAAAAAATACATTAGCATTATAAGAAAATTCCTCATGATTTTCAAGGAGCAGTGTACAGATAGAAGGGAATGCCACATTCCAAAACAAAATGTCAGAGTCATGTGACGAGTGCTTTGTAAAACACACCACATCTTCCAGGAACAAAGGTGACACCCACTAAGTATGAAATGTGATGTTTTTCAATTGGAAACACAGGAGCTCACCAAGAAAAAGAACTGTTATTTTCTCCATTTGGGAATAGTTAACTAGAAACACACAATTATGTAATTAAATGATGACGTTTTCTAGAAGGGTAAATAATAACAAGGAAATAATGACATAGTGATAGCAGCTCTTCAGCAGGGTATAAAGTGGGGTGTGGACCAAGGAGATTCCCAGATTCAAGAACCACACTCTCTTGGAAACCCACCCAGAACCTCCACCCTCTGACACCATGGTCAACTCCTGTTGTGGCTCCGTCTGCTCTGACCAGGGCTGTGGCCAAGGCTGCTGCCAGGAGACCTGCTGCCGCCCCAGCTGCTGCCAGACCACCTGCTGCAGGACCACCTGCTGCCGCCCCAGCTGCTGTGTGTCCAGCTGCTGCCGTCCCAGCTGCTGTGGTTCCAGCTGCTGCCGCCCTAGCTGCTGCATCTCCAGCTGCTGCCGCCCCAGCTGCTGCTGTAGGCCCAGCTGCTGTGTGTCCAGCTGCTGCCGCCCCACTGGCTGTGGTTCCAGCTGCTGCTGTAGGCCCAGCTGCTGCATCTCTAGCTGCTGCCGCCCCTCCTGCTGTGGTTCCAGCTGCTGTGGCTCCAGCTGCTGCCGCCCCTGCTGCTGCCCCTCCTGCTGCCTCCGCCCAGTCTGTGGCCGGGTCTGCTGCCAGAGCACTTGCTATCGCCCCACCTGTGTCATCTCCACCTGCCCCCGCCCCATGTGCTGTGCCATCCCTTGCTGCTGAATCTGCTTTGAACATACCACTTCCTCCTCTCCTATCTCTCCATAGATGCAGACCCATCTTTTCAAAAACATAGAGTGTTCAAGAGAATCCATCTCTTGGCTCCTACAAGCAAACTCCGGTTCTACTAATTCTCTGTCCACACTCTAACTTCTATCCAAACTCCATTCTTTCCAAATGAATTCACTCAGAATCTCCTAATAAATTAAATTCCTCCAACACCCCTCCCTTTGTCTTCAGGACATCTATTCCTCATGCTTAAGGAATTTGAAGGTTGTCTCCATCACTTGTGCGGCCATGGATTTTAACCCCTCAGACACTGAAGTCCAATGAAGTCTTTCTCTTATATACCTTTGCAAAGATTTTCTTATACCTTGTTATTTCCATGTACCAAAATAAACCTCTTTCTACTGGCACTGAAAATTGAATGTGATTGTTCTTCTTTTACAGGTTTTATATGTGGGTCCTGGTTGATTGTATTTTGCCTATACCTGTTGAATGGACAGCCCAGAATAGTCAACTTCCAACAGAGGTCAACTGATATTGAGCACTAGTTTTCTCTAGAAAGTCTTTGTAGTCTTAGGCAATTTAACTAATCATTTCCTAACCTTTAGAAAAAAAGTGAAACTGGTGTCATGGTGCCTCTATGAATATAACAAAGGGGAAGTTTTAGAGAGTTTGGACACGATTCATGATCTTTTAAAACACTGTATTTCAGAGGTTTTTTTAACCAAAGAATGCAGCTAATAGATGACTGACAGATGACTGATAGATAGATAAATAGATAGATGATAGATAGATAAGGCTTTCTTCAAGTGTAACTATGATCTCTTTGGAATATTTCTCCCTTTTTACAACATCAGTCAAAAGGTATATATTTTTAAAGAACCATTATATGCCCCTATGTCATTGAGAAGCCTTCATTCACTTAACAAACATTTATTACTAGTGTCCTCTGTCCCAGCCCTGTGCTGAGCACCATGATAACAAAGTAAATATCATAGCTCATACCTTCAGAGCACCTGTATTCCAACTGGGAGATGACAGAAGTAAATAACTGTGATATAGTAGAGTGTGCTAAATTAGGAGCATAGTGCTAGGAGGAATTATATATGAATGGGGCCGTTTTTCAGAAATGATATCATTGAGAAGGAAGCATTTTAGCTGGGTTTTGACAGATGAATAGGAATTTGCAGAGCTGATAAGAAAGAAGAAATATTCCAAGAAGATGAAATAGCTTCAGCAAAGCCTTGCAAGTTTTATTCTTCATACCTTCTTTAGCTGCTCTAAGATTAAGACAAGCTTACTTTCTGTTTAATCTTGCACAAGTTCTTTTTCTATTAATTTCTCTGCTTATTTTGCCTATTCCACTAAATATGGTGGCATTAAAGATTAAGAACAAATATAAGATATATGGCATCCCTGGTACATCGTGACTACTTCACAAATGATAGATGTATTTCCTTAGCTTTCATGGAAGAAACATGGAACTTATACACATACTATATATTTTGATTGATTATTTAATTAAAACAACTTGAAATCAACCAACAATAAGTGTTGGTGAGGATGTAAAGAAAAGGGAACTCTCGTGCACTCTTAGTGGGGCTGTAAATCTGTGCAGTCGCTATGGAAAACAGTATGGAGGTTCCTCAGGAAATTACGAATAGAGCTGCCTTACGACCCAGCAATTCCACATCTGAGTATTTATCCAAAAAAACCAAAACACTAATTCAAAAAGACATAAGCATCCCTTTGTTCATTGCAGCATTATTTACAATAGCCAATATATGGAAGTAACCTAAGTTCATTGATAGATGAATGGATAAAGAAGATGTGGTACACATATACAATAGAACATTACTCACCCTTAAAAAAGAATGAAATCTTGCCATTTGTGACAACATGGATGGATCTAGAGGGTATTATGCTAAGTGAAATAAGTCAGACAAAGACAAATACCATATGATTTCACTTTTATGTAGAATCTAAAAAACAAAATAAACAAACAAAACAGAATCTAAAAAACAAAATAAACAAACAAAACGAACAAAACAGAAACTCAGGGGGATGGGTGAAAAAAGGAAAGGAATTAAGATATACTAATTGCCAGATATAAAAACAGTCACAGGGATGTAAAGTACAACATAGGGACTATAGTTCATAATATTGTAATAACTATATATGGTGTCAGATGGGTATTAGACTTATGAGGGTAATCATTATATAAGTTATAGAAATGTCTAATCACTATGTTGTACATCTGAAACTAATATAATATTGCATGTCAATTATAATTAATAAA